CTCCAACTCCGCTCCACCAATCCACTCTCCCATTCCCTCATTCACTCACCCCCGCTTCGTTCGCGGTAAACTGCGACTTGCGGATCGTCGCCTGCGTGCGCAGCAGCATGGAGATCGCGCCGCCCGCGGTCGACGCGAGGTTGCGGTGGAAGATGTTTCCGTACAGGCTCAGCGTGCTGCCGTCCGCCGCGCCGATCGCGCCGCCGAACCCGGCGATGTTGCGGATGAAGTGCGACGCGGTCGAGTAGAGCTTGCTGCCCTCGTCCACCTCGATCGCGCCGCCGCCCGCCGTCTGTTCAGGAGGGGGGGAAGGGGGCACGGGGAACGGGGGTTTGAGAGGCGCACGCACGTGTGCAGCGCGGTCTGCCCTCGTCCATCTCGATCGCACCGCCGCCCGCCGTTTGTTTGAGAGGGCGGAGGTGAAGGGGGAACGGGGAGGGGAGAGGGGGAAAGCGGGTTTGAGAGGCGCGCGCACGTGTGCACGGAAGTGGGCATTCCAGTGCAGCGCGGTCCGCCCTCGTCAACCTCGATCTTGTTGGGAGCGCGTTCCCCCCACTCTTGTTGGGCGGGACTTGTTGAGAATGAGGGGACGACGGGTGTGCGAGTGCGAAAGAGAGTGGCGATAGAGAGTGGCGAAGAAGCACGAAAATGACGAAGGGAGAGGTCAGACTAAGAACCACCTACTAATATCCAACTACTAAACAACCGCACCGCACACACACGTACCGTGCCGAAAGCGGAGTTTCCGCGAAAGAACACGCGGTTGAGGATCGCGACGCCGCCGTTCACCAGCAGCGTGCTCCCGCCGCTGCCGTCGCGCGTGTACCCGCGACTGAGCATCACGAGCGTAAGCTGCAGGCGCCCGCCGCGAGTCACGGTGAAGTGCCGGTACTTGCTGCGCCCGTCGATTCGGCACAGCTTGAACTGCCATGGGGAAGCGGCAATGAACACGTAAGGGGAGCGAGGGAGCGGGGGAGCGGGAAAGCGGGGGAGCCGGGGAGTGGGGGAGGCGCGGGGTGGGGAAGCGGGGGAGCGGTGGAGCGGGGGAGGGGGGAGCGGGGGAGGGGGGAGGCACAGCACACGGCAGTCATTGAGCATTGGCGTCCTTGTTGAAGCATTGATCATTGAGCATTGATCATTGAGACTTGGATCGTCATTGGTGCTATCAATACTCGTCGCCCTCCAAGTGTTACACCGCTTGTAGCCGTTAGTCGCCACCTGGTCTAACCGTTACTTAGTCGTTAACCGCCGCCTCGTCTGCTACTGCTGCGAGTTTCCCTTCCCCACAGCGTGCCTTGGTTCTTTTCTCTCCCGCTAGAGCCGCTCTTTTCAATGCTCACTTCCCTCGCCTTCCTCTCACCTTAAGGTCCGCGCAAGTCGTGGCATGGCCGCGAATCGTGACGGACGTCGTTATATTCGGAAGCGGTGACGTCAGAATCACCGTCGCGACCAGCAGGATAGGCTTCCCGGCCTTAATCGCCGCTCGTAACTGCGCCTCGGACCGAACCACCACTTCGTTCGCCGTCGCGCCGAGGTCCTGCGGAGTCGCATCCGCCGGAGCTTGCGTTGTCATGGTGCTCGCGAGCGAGATCTCGTTTCGAGAATCCTCCACTGCTCTCGCCCGGCCTGCGCTGCTTTCGAAGCTGCTTCCGCCATCGGCGGCGGCGGCGGCGCTGCTGCTGCTGCTGCTGCTGCGGTGATGGTGATGGCCTTTGTTTTCGTGCTTGTGCTTCCCGCCGTGTTTCCGGCCGTGTTTCCCGCCGCCGTCTTTGTTTCCAATAGCGGGGGACGGACAAAGCGCCGCCGCTAACAACGCGGCTAGCAACGCGAGTACCAGCAGATCGCGCCTCAACGCCCGAGTCGCCCTGCTCCTCCGATGCGAGGAGGACGACGCCGCGAAACGCGGCAAGGAAGAGGACGAGGAGGAAGTTGGAGGAAGAGGCGAGGAGGAGGAGGAAGATGAGCCACGCATCCGTGATTGTAAACCGACGGATGTGACTGAAGCGGGGGTGGATGAAGATGGGAGTGAGGCGGGAGGAGTGGAGAAGCAAGTGGGGGAAGAAGTAGGCGCTGGTCTCATGGCGTCCTGGGAGTATAAGCATTGGCTGCTGCCGCTTCGCCGTCTGATAGATGCCATGGCGACAGTCCCTGTCTCGTCGCTTGTCCGTTCCCTCCCTATCTGCTTGTCGCGTCGCTCTAACGCCTGTTCTCTGATTCTTGCGCCCTTTCTTAGGAGTCTTTTTTCCCCTTCCAGCGCACCCAAGCGGCCAAATCCCCTGAGCAACGTGCGTGGGTAGCTAGCGACCTACAATAATGAACAGGAGAGCAACGAGCTATGCGCTACGAGCTACGAGAATGACCCGCCCATCTCCGCTGTGTGGCGGGACTATGTCAGGTGCTTTGAGCTGGAAGCGGTCTCTATGAATTAATCTCCAGTCATGCCAGCTAGCAGTGCAATCAGTATTGAGTCCGGTGTACGAGACTTTACATCCACGCTTTACAATACGGCCTTTCTGACACTGAGCAGTTCTACGCTACTTAATCGACCTTTGGCTGACGACGGGAGACGCAGCGGGTAAAAGAGGTCAAAACGAAGCGTTGCTATACTGTTAATGGAAGGGATGAAAAAAAAGTCGTGACTTTGAGAGTCAGTACAGCTGGCACCTACAAGAACCGTCAACGCAAGGACTTGTGGTCTAAGGCTCCTATTGATTAACCACCAAGAACCGTCGAATTCAACGACAACGGGAGTACTTGGTACGGTTGATTGAAGTCTAGAAAGAGATTCCGAAGTCTAGAGAGGCGAATGGATGGAGGAAAGGAGAGTGGCGTTCGGAGGGCGCGAGCAACGCGTCGCGAGCCGATCTGTCAAAGCCTCTCCGTATCCTCCGTCTACGAAGGACGACGGGTTTCGTGTCGTCATGTTGGAAAATAAATAACAGGGCGCAGAAGAAGAGAGAAACAGAGAAAAGGGCGGGCAAAGAGGAACTGAAGCTGCAGAGTTTCGGTCAGGGCCGGTGGGTGTGATGCCGTGTTGTGATGAACAAACTAGAGTGGATGAGGGAGTGGAGGATGAGTTGGGCTTGGTGTGAGTTTGACAGAAGGAGCAGCCTGCAATTCCGTGGTGACGTGCAGGCAGGGGTGATTCATCGACTGAATGGAGTCGGCGGGGGAGACGGGTAGGAAGGCGGGGAAAATAGTGATTCTGAACACCCGACTCGTATTCAGATTGAGGTGTGAAATCGTTGTTGAAACAGAGCGAGAGGGAGCGAAGAAGGTTCAAGAGGGTTGAAGTACGCTGCAGTGCGGTTGAGATTGCACGGGTCCACGTCAGCTGGAATGCGACGATGTTTTTTCCACGGACCCGATTCGAATTGCGCGTGACAATGGTTGGCAGAGCTAGAGCAGTCAGCGGGGTTGGCGCGTAGAGGCGCAGAGTTTCTGCGGGCGGGGTTAGCGATGGTCGCAGGAGGCCCTTGGTAAGGGCTGTAAGTGGAGTAGCGCGGCGCCAGAAGCGGGGGAGTCGCGGCTTGTGATGGGGGGGTGAGGCTGTGTGTTTACTTTTGTGTGGGGGTGGTGGCTCAAGAATGGAGGGTCTAGAATCTGTATAAGAAGAATTTACAGGACACAAACGGGCGCTCTCCTTGCAAGACATGCTTACTTAAGAGGGTCGAAAACAGGTGGAGCACTTCAGCTCTAAGCATATCTTTTGATACGAGGGGCCGCATGGGGGATTGGATGAGTGATTCTGCCTATTGGCACCCGGAGTCGGTGCGGGTGTGTACTACTCAACAACCTAGAATTACGTGAAAATAGCAAACAACTGTCAACGGTTGGGTGGGGTGTACCAGCGCAGCCATCACGGAGATTTAGCGTGGCGCTGCGATAGCGACGGAGGACGTGGCGAAGCGCGGACAAATCGGCCGGGTCGGGGAAAACTTCAACATGTACTCTACTGTTACATGTACTTTCAGCTATTGCCCCCTCCTCATCCAAGCGATTCTGAAAGTGTCAAGACAGAAACACCCCTCCCGCTCGTGTTCACTGACCGACGACCAGTGGCGCGAGTTGCGGAAGCCCCGTGATTGTGTACAGAAATGTCAGAGCTTCCACAAAACTTCCTGCTTATAATTAGCTCCGATAAACTTAGGAGACCGTGATGAGCTAATCCAGCACATTCTGTTTTGCTACTTCTTGAGACGCTGGTGAGAGAATTGTGATTTTCTTTTTTTGCAAAATAAAGTTTTCATAATAGTAGTGGTCCCATTTTATTTTACGTCAAGAAGTTGTCAGTTGTCCTGCTTTAAGATTTGTTTTCTCCACTATTTAGGTTTTGTGTGATACTGAAATGTTATAACAATGAGGGAACATCAATGTTTTAGCCTGCGCCACGTCATCCTCATCCTTCTTGCCATCGTGGCCTTTCTCTCCCAACCCATCACACCCTTCTGCAACCCAGCGTCAGGCTTCTCTGTGCCACGTGTAGGCCAATTTGCTTTTCGCCTCTCCCATCCCACACTGCCAAGGCTTTCGTCCTCCGCACACCAATGAGCTTCCAGGGTTTATCTCGGGGCTTGCGGCTACACAAGCCCTTCCGCGTCCTACCCAACCAAACCTCGATTTCTTCCCCTCCATCCCCACAAATGCCCCCCATCTCCTTACAGCCACCCCCTGTCTACACCATTTCCCCATCATCTTCCGCCGTTTACTCGCCGTTTTCCGCAACATCAGGCCTCCGCAAACAGTTTTCCCCCAGCCTCCCCCATTCTCTGCTCCGCAAGCACCAGTCCTATCCATCCCTTCCATTCTCTCCCCTAACTCGTCCAAACTCCCTACTTCACGCACTGACCAACTCGCCGCGTTTGGCGCTTTAGACCTCCTCGCTGCGGCATCCCTATCAGCTGGGGACCATGTCATTCGCACGGTGTTTATCATCGTCTGCGACGGCAGCGGCGACTGCTTCGACCAGCATGTTGTCGCTCACCGCGTCGTTCCAGTCCATGTCCGTGCGCACTTCGGTCAGCCGCGCCGCCACTCAGACCTGCGCCGCAGTTTCGCGGTCCGCGTTTCTCGGCGCTAGACCCGCAGCGGCTCGGTTCTCTCCTGTCGCGGATCTGCTCCCCGTGGTGAATGCGCCGTCGCGACCGGCGTCGACGCAACTGAAAGTGGTGGCGAAGGAAGGGTACAAGCTTAAGACGCACAAGGTGGGGATTGAAATGTCTACCACACGCTTTTCGAGCATGCTGAGAAATTTCTACGTCGCCTCTTCCCTCCCCTTCCCCCTCTCCCCTCCCATTCTCTTTCCCCTTCCCCTTCCCCTTCCCTGTCTCGCATTAAGTTTCACCAGCAATTGCTCTTTTGAGACTCCGTCGTACCTTTTACCATCTGCCCTTCCTCCCTCCCCTTCTTGTTCACCGCCTTTGGATTTGTGCAAGAGTTGGAAATTTCTTGTGCTCTCACCCCTGTTTGTATTCTGACTCCTGCCGGCTCATTTCTTATATCGATTCTCCCAATGGGCTCATGCGCACACGTCTTTACAGCCTACACCGTCATGACACCCTCCGACACCCGTTTCCCCCGTCGCTCCCGCCCCCCATTCCCCCCATCCTCCCTTCCGCCCCTTGCCCCACCCCTCTCCTCTTCCAGGCTTCCGCCAAGCGCTTCCGAGTGACGGGGTCGGGCAAGGTGGTGCGCCGACGGGCGTGGCGCGCGCATTTGCTGAGCAAGAAGAGCCCCCGCCGGAAGAACCGCCTCGCGGGCATGGTAAGTACCGTGCCGCGAATGTAGCGCGCATCGGGGTGACATAGAGAAAATTGACAGGCAGCGCCTCTGAGGCCCCTTCGATCGGGTTTCAGCTGAAGTTTTTATTTCAGGAGCCTCAGAACTGGTGCGCATGAGTCCGAACAGGTCTGAAAGCGCCTCATGCTGGCTGCATCTGACCCGCATGAGGAATGGGCGGTGTGAAGCGGTTTAAAAAGCGCCTGAGAAGAGCATTCTCCGCAATGGTGGTAGGCAGCGCGGTGGTAGGGAGCAATGGTGGTAGGCAGGCCTGCGCGCGGTAGGCAGCGGTTAGCGCGTGCGCGCAAGGGGCGTGGCGGTAGCGGCGGAAACGACCCGCTGTGGCGATGGATCCATTTGTGGGAGAGCGTAGTAGCCTAGCCGCGGGATTCTAGCGCGGAATCAGCTTGACTGTTGCTTGACGAATGTTCGCGAAACGGGCGACGTGTGTGCTTCGTAAGGTCTTATTCGGAGAAAGTGGGAGATGGAGTGGCCGTATGCGTCAAGTGTGGATAGAACGGAGAGATTACAGGCTGAAAATGGCTGCGATTAGACTCACTGGGAAGGACCAAACGTTCGAAAGAAGGTTAAGGCTCGAGAAAGAGTTCCGGAGAGCATGGTGTGGAAGCTGACGTGGCGAGTAGGTCTGCGACATGCTTTTCTAGGGAGTGATTCTCTCGTGTGTTGTGTTGACCTGGGTTAGGTATCCTATGCTGGCCCGCGTGCTCGCCGACACACGACCAGACCTCCTGTTGTTACTGGAGGTGGGGGATGAGAGTGGGAGTTCTCAAGGGGTCGGCATGAATTGGGGCCGTGGCGCTCGCGAGGGAAGTGATCGGCGCGCTCTCTGCGTGTCGCCGCGGCGAAGTGTTGGTTTACGAAGTCCCTGTGGCGCTGGAAGGGGTCGTAAGTAAGTTCAGAGCGGCTGGACGGGATCCAGTGCGGTGTGGCGCTGCAGGCTTGTGTGCCGCTGCCGCGAGGACCACGCGGTTAGAGGGAGGGAGAGAAGCGTGCGAAAGGAATGTAAGGAGAGCCGCGCGGGGGATGGGGGCTCTCAACTTGGGGGCTCAACACGTGGGTTTTCATATTGCATGGTTGGAAGCTGCTGTGGTTGTTGAGGTCCACGTGGCTTTTCGGAAACCCACGTGGCTGAGTAGGTTGCCTGGAGGTAATTGTAAGGTGAGGTAACGGCTGATGCCAGATCAATCGGAGATTCGTGAGGGACTAGTGTGGCCGTGGCCGGTCTAAGTAGTCTGTCGCGGCTGGCGAGAGTCGTGGTGGTGGTGGTGGTGGTGGTGGTGGTGGTGGTGGTGGTGGTGGTGGTGAATCGGTGGGTATGGGCCTTGTCTCGGGTGCAACAATTACATGGGGGAGATGGAGAGAGAAGTCGCAAGAAATTCTGTCTTCTGTGGAATTTTGCTCGAAAATTCATTCCATCCTTCCCTGAGACAATGCCCATGGCTACCAAATCACAGTAGGTGAGGTCGGAATGCTCTATGTCCTCTCCGCTCCTCCTCTCCCCCTCTCCCCACCCCACCACCCCCCCGCCCCCTCCCACCCCCCTTCCCCCCCTTCTGCCTCATTCCCCCCGTTCTTCCTCCTCGGCCACTCTTTTCTTGTGCAGTTTTGAGATGTCTCAAAGGTTTTTGTCCTCTCCCTCACCATGGCTTCCCTCATTGCCTCCGAGGTGGATTGGGACAAGACTATGTGCGCCATGCATGCATGCTATCCACTGCGCTCTCACCCACCCACCCCCACCTCCCCCCCTTCTCCCCCCCTCCACCGCCCACCTTCCCCCACTCCTCCCCTGCACACGGAGGTGTTCCGAGGTGACTTGGACAAGATTGTGGGCGCCATGCCTTACACCCACCGTGCTATCACTGCATTGATCCCACCTTCCCCCCCCCTGTTCTGTCTCCCCATGGTTACCCTGTGCTCTGTACCCTGGGCAGACGGAGGTGTTCCGAGGTGACTTGGACAAGATCGTGGGCGCCATGCCTTACATCCAACCCCCCTTTCCCCCTCTTCCCCCTGACCCCCTCCACCTCTCCCCCCCGTCCGTCTCCCCATGCTGCCCTGCAGACGGAGGTGTTCCGAGGTGACTTGGACAAGATCGTGGGCGCCATGCCTTACCTCAAGGTGAACCGCAATCGCCTGCCGCCCTCTGCTGTGGTGTATGAGGAGGAGGAGGGTGAGGAGGAGGATGCCGAGTAAGCCTGCTGCTGCTGGGGAGGGTGCTGCTGCTGGTTCTTCTGGTGCTGCTAGTGCTGCTGGTGCTAGTGCTGCTGGTGCTGCTGCAAGGGGTGCTGCCCGTAGTGCTGTTTTTGATTGGAAGGATAACCTTTTGCATCCTTTTGAATGTATGGCCACAGCATTTTAGTACGTCATTAACAAAAGAATAGTAGTGATCTCTATACGTTCATTCAAGTGCATTGATGGATGCTGTTTAGTTAGCTTCCCCTACAAAATGAGACAATTTGAAGATACTCATTCAAAGTAGTATGTATGTGAATTGGGAGATTTCCATCTTCATTTCATGTAGTAGTTGGTTTCCAACAAAACAGTAACGTCACACGATCTCCACAAGGCGAAGGGCGGAAGTTTTGGCGAAAATCCCTTGAGACTACACGGCAAAACCCTCCACATGCAGACTTCGCTATCAGACAAAACACATTAGACGAGGTTAGAGAATCTATGTTTTGAATAAGTAGGACAAAGGGAAATTTTTGTGCAAGACAACAAACGCCTCCAGTGCCTTTCACGAACATATGAAAGTTTGCTACCAGCTCTGACAGTGCTAGCCTGTAGTCTGTAGTGCTTCAAGGGTAACCTAGCAAGCACACTGAGTTAAGGTACTACTGGTATTGTGCATTGGACCTGAAGTCCACTGCCTCGTACTGTCAGCTACACTACACACATTTACGCATGTATACCCAAGACATGTATACATACATGTACACACATGCACGCATATACGGCGCCTTATTGCGCCTTCTTTGCAATCGCTCACCACCACTAGGCAGGTTTTGTATGCGCTAGCTAGTGGTGGAAACGAGAGGTTGTTTGCTAGGTTAGCTACATCACTCCTTCCTTCCCAGTGTCCAGGAACCGACTCGACTCGAACAACTGGGACTATCATTACTGTGGTGCTGGGAATAACGCTGTGATGGTGATGGTGCTGCTGCTGTGCTGCTGCTGCTGGTGCTGCTGCTGCTGGTGCTGCTGCTGCTGGTGCTGCCAGTGGTGGGGATTGGTTGGTCTCAGGAGGGTCTGGCATGGAAGAACCGCAGCATCATGGAGTAAAGGTCGTTGGGGTCGATCGGCTTCGTGATGTACCTGCAGGTGGGGCGCGGTGGGGCGCGGTGAGGTGTGGTGAGGTGAGGTGTGGTGAGGTGGAACGGAGTGTGGTATGGTAAAGTGTGTTGTGATGAGGTGTAGCACCGAGTGGTATGGAATGGAACAGGGATGTGTGTGGAAGCGTGTGCAATTGTACTCAATTACGCAAGTGCGTTGTGGAACAGGGATGACATTTGAGTCGACTCAAAGTGTGTGGAGTGGAAGCGTGCACGATTGTACTCAATCACGCAAGTGCGTTGTGGAACAGGGATGACATTTGAGTCGACTCAAAGTGTGTGGAGTGGAAGCGTGCACGATTGTACTCAATCACGCAAGTGCGTTGTGGAACAGGGATGTATGTGTGTGGTTGTACCGTAATCGATGGACTGCCACTGCCACACACACTCCTCTACTTAACCAGACTTAACCAGAACCATACTTGCTTGCTTGCCTTACCATGCCCTTCGAATGCCCATGCCCATCCCAATCCCCCTCCCCATGCCCCCATTCCCTTGCCCCCCCCCCCCTACTCGCCCCCTGCCTTTTACTTACCCATCCATGCCCGCCTGGCTGCACTTCTCCTTGGTGCCCTTGAGCACGTCTGCTGTCAACTGGTGGCAGCAGAGAGGGGTGGGGATTGGAAGGGTTAGAGAGGGATGGAAAGGAGCAGAGAGGGAAGAGCAGGAAAGCAGACGGGTGGAGGCAAGGGAGCAGTGTGCAATGAGGGCAACAGAAGAGAGCTGCGAGCAATGGCAGTGAGAACAGCTACCGGAACAGCAACAGCAACAGCAACAAGGTGAGCAGTGTACGTGGAAGGAAAAGGTGGTAGAAGGGAGAGATAAGCAGAGGAAGAGAGACGGAGAGGAAGTAAGGAGAAAAGGATGGGAAGCTGGCGGGGAAAGGTGGGTAACACAGTGATGTGACTGCGCAAGAGAGGTCTAGATTTGAGGCGCCTCAAAACTGAGGAGAAGGAGATGGGAAGATGGCGGGGAAAGATGGGTAGCACAGTGACTGCGCACGAGAGGGTGGGTGGGAGGGAGGGGTTGGGAAGAAGGAGGGAGGGAGGGGGAGCGGGGAGGGAGGGGGAGGGCTTACAGCAACGATGGGCACGCGTGGGGATTTGTGCTGCTCCTCCAGCTGCCTCCCTCTGCGACACGTCTCATAGCCATCCATCTGCACATGGTGTGGCATGGCATGGTGTGGCATGGCATGGTGTGGCATGGCGAAATGAAGGTGGGAATGGGTGGCACGGTCGTGGAACGGGATTAAGGTGGGGAGGGAGGAGGGGAAGAACCAAGGGGTTTGGATGAGAGCAGTTCTGGAAAGACACGCAATGGAAATATGGCATGATGCATGCATGCACGTACACAGCATGGCCAGGGAAGGAGGATTGCACAGGAGGAAGAGAGCACGGGGAAAGAAAAACATGTTGGGAGCAGCATGGGAGAGCATGGGAAGAGGGGAGCATGGGAAGAGGGGAGCATGGGAAGAGGGGAGCATGGGAAGAGGGGAGCATGGGAAGAGGGGAGCATGGGAAGAGGAGAGCATGGGAAGAGGAGAGCATGGGAAGAGGAGAGCATGGGAAGAGGAGAGCATGGGAAGAGGAGAGCATGGGAAGAGGAGAGCATGGGAAGAGGGGAGCATGGGAAGAGGAGAGCATGGGAAGAGGAGAGCATGGGAAGAGGGGAGCATGGGAAGAGGAGAGCATGGGAAGAGGAGAGCATGGGAAGAGGAGAGCATGGGAAGAGGAGAGCATGGGAAGAGGAGAGCATGGGAAGAGGAGAGCATGGGAAGAGGGGAGCATGGGAAGAGGGGAGCATGGGAAGAGGGGAGCATGGGAGGAAGAACAGACTTACCTCGGGCATCTGCTTGCGGCAACAGCATGGGGTGAACAGATGTGGCGGAGTGCGGTGGATACGGGGCAGTTGATTGACGCGTGTTGTCAAGGTATACATGCATCCATCCATCCATCCATCCATCCATCCATCCATCCATCCATCCATCCATCCATCCATCCATAGGCATGTACGTAGAGAATGTACGAAGAGAGGTCAACATGCAACATGGACACACACAGGCACAAACGCACACATGCACACACGCACACGTGCACATACGCATGCACATATGCACACACTCACACTTGCACACATCCACACGTGTGCAAGCACACATGCACGCGCACATGCATGCCACCCACATGCATGCCACCCACATGCATGCCACCCACATGCATGCCACCCACATGCATGCCACCCACATGCATGCCACCCACATGCATGCCACCCACATGCATGCCACCCACATGCATGCCACCCACATGCATGCCACACACATGCATGCCACACACATGCATGCCACACACATGCATGCCGCCCACATGCATGCCACACACATGCATGCCACACACATGCATGCCACACACATGCATGCCACACACATGCATGCCGCCCACATGCATGCCACACACATGCATGCCACACACATGCATGCCACACACATGCATGCCACACACATGCATGCCACACACATGCATGCCACACACATGCATGCCACACACATGCATGCCACCCACATGCATGCCACACACATGCATGCCACCCACATGCATGCCACACACACACATCCACGCAAGAAAACCACGAGACGCAAGAGAGGAAACTCAGTTGAGTCAGCACGTGCAAAGCCTATGAGTATTTGAGTCTGCACCAACCTCAAAGCACCACCATCCCTGCACCGACCTCAAAGCACCACCATCCCTGCACCGACCTCAAAGCACCACGCTCCCACGAGGCAACAAGCAAACTCAAAACCTGACGGGGATGGTTTGAGTTTGCTTGTTGCTGGATTATAGATCTACAACATCCCTGAATGTTTCTTACAAGGATGGCAAGGCTTGCTTGACCAGGATGGCAGGTAAAGCGTGCCTGGCATGCACTGGGCAACCTTAAGAAACGCAAGCCTGGGTGACTTTGGAGTCGACTCAAAAGTCACCTCGTTAGGATGGCAGGTAAAGCGTGCCTGGCATGCACCGGGCAACCTTAAGAAACGCAAGCCTGGGTGACTTCGGAGTCGACTCAAAAGTCACCTCGTTAGGATGGCAGGTAAAGCGTGCCTGGCATGCACCGGGCACCCTGAAGAAACGCAAGCCTGGGACCCTTTGACCTAACACTAACCGAACTCTAACCCATCTCTAACCTAACTGGTGCAGCGGCTGGTTTTGAGTCGACTCAAAACTACGCAAGCCTGGGACCCTTTGATTTGACCTAACACTAACCGAACTGAACTCTAACCCAACTCTAACCTAACTGGTGCAGCGGCTGCAGCAGCTGCAGCAACCACTGCAGTGCTGTAGCAGTAAAGAGGAGGCACATGTGTTTCACAGTGACCCCCACCCCACCTGTAGGTCCATGAAGACCAGGTCAAACAGGTGCGACGGCTGTAGCAGCTGTAGCGACTACTGTGGCGCTGTAGCATTGTGTAGGAGGCACACGCGTTCTATAGAGAGACCCCACCTGTAGGTCCATGAAGACGAGGTCAAACAGGTGCGGCGGCTGTAGCGGCTGTAGCGACTACTGTGGCGCTGTAGCACTGGGTAGGAGGAGGCACACGCGTTCGATAGAGAGACCCCACCTGTAGGTCCATGAAGACGAGGTCGAACTGGTGCGGCGGCTGTAGCAGCTGTAGCGCGCGCTGGCCACTGGAGGCTGTGGCGGTGGATACACCGTACTTGGACAGCATCTTGCATGCCACCCTCAGGTTCACTGCATGGAGGGGGAGGGGGGAGGAGGGCATGGAGGGGAATAGGAAAAAAGGGGTGGAGTGGGCATGGAAATGGGAAAAAATGGACAGCATCTTGCACGCCACCCTCAGGTTCACTGCATGGCGGGGGGGGAGTGGGAGGGGAGGCAGGGGAGGAACGGAGAGGAGGAGAGAAAGGGGGAGGGTGGGGGGGGGGAATGGGAAAAGGATGGAATTGGAGAGCATCTTTCATGCTACTCTCATGTTCACTGCATTGGGGGGAGGAGGGGAGGAGGGGATGAGGGGGAATAGGAAAAAGGGGGTGGGAACGGGCATGAAAAAGGGGAGTAGGGAACAGCATTTTGCATTCCACCCTCGGGTTGGGGGGAGCTGGGTTGCACGCCACCCTCGGGTTGAGGGGAGCCATTTTGCACGCCACACTCAGGTTCACTGCATTGTTTAGTGGGGATAGGGGGGAGCCGGGGGGTTGGGGGGGAGAAAGGGCGGGGGGGGGGGGGGGGGGGGGGGAGGAGTGTGGGGGGAGGGGTGGGGAGATGAGGTCCCCATTCTCCCTGCACCCACGTTACCACCCACCCACTCACCCATGTTGTCATCCACACACAGAATCCGCTTCCCCCGCATCATGAGACAACAACTTGACAACCCACACACTCCCCCCTTCTCACCCCGTCCCTTCCCTGCCCACTCACCCATGTTGTCATCCACACACAGAATCCGCTTCCCCCGCATCATGAGACAACAACTTGACAACCCACACACTCCCCCCTTCTCACCCCGTCCCTTCCCTGCCCACTCACCCATGTTGTCATCCACACACAGAATCCGCTTCCCCCGCATCATGAGACAACAACTTGACAACCCACACACTCCCCCCTTCTCACCCCGTCCCTTCCCTGCCCACTCACCCATGTTGTCATCCACACACAGAATCCGCTTCCCCCGCATCATGAGACAACAACTTGACAACCCACACACTCCCCCCTTCTCACCCCGTCCCTTCCCTGCCCACTCACCCATGTTGTCATCCACACACAGAATCCGCTTCCCCCGCATCATGAGACAACAACTTGACAACCCACACACTCCCCCCTTCTCACCCCGTCCCTTCCCTGCCCACTCACCCATGTTGTCATCCACACACAGAATCCGCTTCCCCCGCATCATGAGACAACAACTTGACAACCCACACACTCCCCCCTTCTCACCCCGTCCCTTCCCTGCCCACTCACCCATGTTGTCATCCACACACAGAATCCGCTTCCCCCGCATCATGAGACAACAACTTGACAACCCACACACTCCCCCCTTCTCACCCCGTCCCTTCCCTGCCCACTCACCCATGTTGTCATCCACACACAGAATCCGCTTCCCCCGCATCATGAGACAACAACTTGACAACCCACACACTCCCCCCTTCTCACCCCGTCCCTTCCCTGCCCACTCACCCATGTTGTCATCCACACACAGAATCCGCTTCCCCCACATCATCTGCTGCAGCTTCTCCGCAACCGTCGCTCCCACCGGCGCCCCCGGATTCGCCACATGAGAAGAATCCAGCCTCGACAGCCCCAGCGCCTGCACCAAAGCCGCTCCCACCGACGCTCTCCGCAGCGGCTTCAGCAGCAGCACTGCGACCCCTGCCGCTGCTGCTACTCCCTCCACCTCGGGACCGGTTCGGGCGACCACGAGGACGACTGGGCAGCGCGTGAAGAGGCGGTTAGAGCGGATTGCGGCGAGGGAGAATTGCCAGTTGGGCGTGTCTGTGTCTATTAGGATCACGGAGATGGGTGGAGGGGCGGTGGCGGTGGTGGGGGGAGTGGGAGTGATGGGGAGGGCGCGATGGGTGGTGAGAGGGGGGGTGTTTGAGAGGGTGGTGGTCGGGGGAGGAGTGGTGGCAGGAGGGGTGGGGAGTTTAGGGGTGGGTGCAATTGGAGGGGCAGGGGATGGGGCGGGAGAAGGGGAAACGGAGGCGGGAAGAGTAGCAACAGGGGCATCGGCCGAAGCAGCAGCATCAGCAGTGGCTGCACCAGTGCTGCTGTCGCTCTGGCAGGCAGCAGTGACACTTGTGGTGGCGGTGGTGGTGGCGGTGGTGGTGGTGGCGGTGGTGGTGGCGGTGGTGGTGGTGGCGGTGGTGGTGGCGGTGGTGGTGGTGGCGGTGGTGGTGTCTGTACTGCTATTACTGTTGTCACTGCTACCACGAGTGTTGGAGAGCAGGGCATCAAACAGAGAGCCACTGCTGCCCTGCTGCTGCTCGTGCTGCGCCTTGCAATGGGCCACAGACGACAGGAGAGTGCTCAGACTGCTCCTGCTACTGCTGCCACTGCTGCTACTAACGATACTGCCAGCACCAGCACCGCCGCCAAAGCTGCTGCTGCTGTTTGTAGTGGCGAGGCTGTTGCTGCTGCTGGCACTGCTGGTATTCTTGCTCTTGCAGGAACTATCAGTACCGCTGCGCTTGCTGCCATCCCTTCTAACAACAGAGTCTTGCAATGAATCCTCCTCCTCCTCCTCCTTCTCCAGCAGGCTCCCTTCCCGCTTTCTTCCATCACTATTTCTCCCAGCTGCATGCTCCCCTCCGTTACTCATCCCACCTCCTCCTCCAGAGACTGATTTCCCCTCTCCTTCAGCCCCCTCCACTTCCTCCACTTCCTCCTCTTCCTCCTCTTCTTCCTCCTCTTCCTCTTCTTCCTCCTCTCCTTCCTCCTCTCCTTCCTCCTCCTCCTCCTCTCCCTCTCCCCTCTCCTCCTCCTCTTCCTCCATGCCATCACTCTCTCCATCCCTCGTACTCTCCTTCTCACTCTCCTCCTCCTCTTCTCCCTCACTCCGCTCCCCATCCTCCATGTCGCTCCCCTCATCATCACTCACCTCCTCAGCCTTCCCGGCCTTCTCGGCCTTCCCTTGCTGCCCCTGCCCCTCTCGCCCATCACCCTTCTCCTGCACTCCCCGCCCCTGCCCCTGCTGCTGCTGCTGCGTAATCAGCCCCCTCTGACCCATCACAACCCCTCCAGTTCCCGGCAGCACCGCATTCAACGCCGAAAGCCTCTCGCTCTCCTTCTCAATGGCATCTGAGAACGTCTGCATGGCTCTGGACACAACTGTGTGCGCGCGCCGCTGCTGCCTTTCCGGATTAGGATTCTCAAACACGTCTCTCTCCACCTCATCCGAGAACGTGAGCATATATCTTGGCACGGCTGTGTGTGCCCGCACCAGTGCTCTCCCCCTCCTCCCTCGTGCCTGCGTGCGTGCCTTACCACCTGCATCAGCAGGAGCAGCTGCATTACCAGAGGCAGCAGCAGTAGTATTGGCAGGTGTATCAGCAGGATTAGCCGAGGCGGCAGCAGCAGCATTGGCAGTAGCAGCAGCGGTGGCATTAGCAGGGGCAGCTGCAGCAGCAGTAGTTGTGTCAAGGGAACCAGGAACCAACTCTTCCTCCTCCACCACTGCAGCATACCTTCCCCTCATCCCGCGTCTCCCCCCTCCTTCCCCTTCCCCCCTTCCTCCTCCTCCCCCGCCTCCCCCTTCCCCACCCGCGCCCCCACCCATGGGGATAAGCGATGTGCTGAACGTTGCTGCTGCTGCTGCCGCCGCTGCCGCAGCCTGTGCTTGGATACTTCTGAGGGTTTGCGAGTCATATGTTGCGAATTTCTTTGGCGGAGGGGGGTTGTAACCCCCACCCATACCCTTCCCCATACCCATCCCCATGCCCATGCCCCTGTCTGCGTCTGTTCCCCCATCCTCCCCCATACCACTCCCATTCAACATCAACACCCCCTCCCCTCCCCTTGCCCCTCCTCCACCCCCTGTCCCCCACCCCTCTCCCTCCCCCCTCACCCTCCCCCCCACACCACCACCACCACCAACCCCTCCTCCTCCTCCTCCTCCCTCTCCTCCTCCTCCTACTCCTCTCCCCCCCCCATCAATCCCCCCTCCCCCCATCCCCCCTCCGACTAGCCCTCCTAACATCGTCAAAGCAGCAGCACCCCCAACCACCTCCACCTGCCCCACTTCTAGAAACCCTAGTCTTGAGCCAGCGGATCCCGCCACCACTGCTGCTTTCTTTCCCCCCACTCCAAGCAGCCGCTGCTGCCACTGCTGCTGGTGCAGCCACGCTGTTACTTCCCGGTCGCCTGTTGCTGCTGCTGCTGCTCCTGCTGCTACCGCTTGCGCTTGTGACTGTGCTTGTCCGCTTGCGTTAGGAGAGAAAGGGGTCTGATTTCCCGCAGTGGTGGTGGCAGCAGCAGCAGCAACACCACCAGCAGCAGCACCATTAACAGCAGCAGCGGCAGCAATGTTGGTGCTGGTGTTGTTTGTGCTAATGCTCCTGACGCTGCTCATGCCACTCCTCCCACCGCCACCAGCAACACTCAAAGCACCACCACTTGACATGCCACCAGAACCATTGCCTCGATCATAGGTGCTGCTGCTGCTGCTGCTACTGGAATAATTCCCGATATTCTGCTGCTGTTGCTGCTGCTGTAAAGTTTCATCGGACGATCCCCCCAGTACTCCCTGTGTGCGAATACTCTGTGTAGAGACATTTGGCCTTGCGAAAGGAGAGAGGGAAGAAGAGGGAGCGAGGGTGGAGGAAGAGGAGGGGGAGGCAGCGGAAAGTGAGAATGGGAAACCAGAAGGTCCCACCCGAATCTGCTGCTGCTGCTGGTGCGGCTGCTGCTGCTGCTGCTTGCCCTGCTGCTGCTGGTACTGATACTGATACTGCTGATTCTGCTGCTGCTGCTGGTGGTGTGAGAGAGAGGCCGGAGGGCTGACTTGATCCAGGATAGAAACGAGCAAACCCAAGCGGACCAAGTGTGCTTGCAGCACGGCTCTCTGTACCCGGTTTGCATCCACCACCAAGGCGTGCAGCCCTTTCAGCCGCTGCAGGAAAGGAAGGTCTGTGAGATCGGTTGGGAGAGGGAGGATCGGGAAGGGGGAGGCAGTGAGAGGTGCGGCAGAGGAGGAGGGTGGTACAGGGGGGGTCGCTCCTGCTCCTGCGCCTCCTGCTCCTGCTGCTGCTGCTGCTGCTGATGATGATGATGATGATGATGATGATGATGATGATGCTGGGAGGGGTTGCACGGAAGGGGGGGCCGGCTGGTGGAAGAGAGAGGCGGAGGATGAGGAGGCTGCGATGAAGGGCGCGACAGTGGAGGTGGGGGCGTGCAGGAAGAGGTCGAAATAGAAGGTGCTGCCCACTGCCACTGTTGACTTGAGACCTAAAGAGCCGCCCATTAGAGACACCTGATGGATACAAGGGCGAGGAATGCAAGGGCGAGAGAGGGATGGGAAGGGGGGGGTAGGGGAACCGAGCGGGGACGGAGGGGACGCAAGGGGAGGGAGGAGGGGGACGAAAGCAGCAGGGTGAGGGTGAATTGAAAGGAGCTGAGGAGGAGGAGGGGGAGGAGGCTGCGATGAAGGGCGCGACGGTGGAGGTGGGGGCGTGCAGGAAGAGGTCGAAATAGAAGGTGCTGCCCACTGCCACTGTTGACTTGAGTCCCAGTGAGCCGCCCATTAGGGATACCTGCGGTGGGAGGGGAGGGAGGGAGGGGGGATGCGATGCGCGAAGGAGGGAAGGGAGGAGAGGGAGGGGAGGCAGGAGATGGGGGAGAGAAGGGAGGGAGGGGAGGGGGAGGAAAGGGATGAAAGCGAGGAAGGGGAGGAAGGGGAGGAAGGGGAGGAAGGGGAGGAAGGGGAGGAAGGGGAGGAAGGGGAGGAAGGAGAGGAAGGGGAGGAAGGAGAGGAAGAGGAGGAAGGGGAGGAAGGGGAGGAAGGAGAGGAAGGGGAAGAAGGAGAGGAAGGGGAGGAAGGAGAGGAAGGGGAGGAAGGAGAGGAAGGGGAGGAAGGGGAGGAAGGGGAGGAAGAGAACGGGAGGAACAGGAGAGGAGTGG